TATCGTCTCCCAAAAGAAAGAATAGATTCTGAACCGCTAAACAAGTCGTCTGTAATTCGAATCCCACTGCGTTACGGTATGTCACTATATAAGACATTTGCATAATGCCTGCCTATGTTGTACGTTGTCCGTGAAAAACTTGACCCGCCCACAAACCCGTAATTTTACTGACGACTGCTTCTCAAATCTCAGAGTTTAACGCAGGATTCACAAAACGCTTGCTCTTGAAAGATGGGTCAGTACCCAGTTTATTTGGACCAGCTTGCTCCTCAGAATCACAACCTAAGTATGAATAATGATGTATATATTATATTATCTAGTACCGGGTGTTCAAAATACATTATTTTGTGTTTTATATTGTGTAGTTCTCCGACTAACCGTCTAACTCACGTTATTACTGTCTTACTGAAATAGTTCTGCTAATCAGGTATAGGCCCACTATTACCTAGAACTGTGTCTATTAATGCAGGTTTTTGTCATGAAAGTACAGATGCTACTGGTAAAATATTACTTTTTTAACTTATACTACATACTTAATACTACTTAGTTAATACTCTTATTTTTACTTAGGTAAAACTACAGAAGTACTTGCTTTTAAAAGTACTTAAGTATCAAAGGTAAATTCCCTTTTTTAGGTCAACTCATTGTTTTATTATATTGTTGAACTGTTATATATAATGTAATCCTTACAATAGGCTACTTTATGCCTAGTTTCTGTGGAATAAAGAACTTTTAGAATGTTACAAAACCAATAGAAATTAAACAACTGAATTGACAAAAAAGACAGCAATAATAATCTTCATTTTTTATTTAACACTCCTTCCTAACCACCCCCACAATAAAATTAAATTCTCCCACGATTCTGAACGCCAACTTAACAAAATAACATGTAATTTAGGTTCAGGTTCTGACAAAATATGAATTTCTGCATTCTATTTAAAAGTGTTTAACTGATTTGAATGAATTATTATGTTTGAATGATTCAATGACTCACATAAATACACCACTTGTTTCATTACTGGATGAATCAGCATTTTTGTATGAATCTCTTGAATGAATGATTCAATGACAAATTACTTTTTCTTTAACAGTCACTTGATGCCACCTGGTTGTGAAACAATGTAATTGTAACGGTCACCAGCTGGAGTGCCCTTGAGAGCCACCAGAGGGCACTCCAGATAAGACTATTACTCACAAACTACATTTCCCATTACTCACTGCCCGGACTCACCATCACTATCACTGATCACATTCACCTGTACCTCATTCTCTGATTGCATTCACCTGTGTCTCATCATCCTGTTACTGTCTATTTATACCAGGTTCATTCACTCACCGCAAAGTCTTGTTTTAGTGTCACACTGAAATTCTGAGCATTCTGTAGCTTCACGTTAGGGCTGGGCGATATGGAGCAAAAAATATATCTCGATATGTTTTGCTAAATCTCGATATTCGATATATATCTCGATATCTTTACAGGAAAATGGATGTGAATACAACTCAAAATATAGGCCTACAATCAATAGAAAATTAATTTTCCATAACAGAATGTAACCAAATGTACGGAGCCCGGGAAGTCACCTGTGGGGAAAAAAAAAAACAATCCTAGGCGACGGTTTTGCAATCCGTCCCCTCAGTTTATAAACTGTTCTCACGAATTCTTAAACTGTTCCCTCGGTTTAACAATTCGTGCCCACGGATTAATAAACCGTACCCACGAGTTCCTAATCCGTGCTCTCAGATTTGTAAACCGTGCCCTCAGTTTTTGCAATCTGTACCCACAAATTCATAAACCATGCCCACGCTTTCGCAATCCGTACTCACGGGTTTGTAATCCGTACTCACGGGTTTGTGGCTCGTCCCCCAGAGTGTGCCGCGTGATTCAACCAGGCCTCCTGTTTAGATGCGGGATGCATTGTTTTTAAAAGGACTTCAGATACAATATATATATATATATATAACACAAAGTTATAGGCCTATAAAAATAAAACATTCATAAATTGTTTTATGATTAACATATTCCTGTCTTAAGTGAACTCATTTAAAGTTATAAACGCAAATAATAGGCCTAATAATAATAATTAGGCTATTATTATTACATTTAGGCTACATATTTAGATATAAGACGCTTTTATCAAAAAAAGAAACAAAGCAATTCGTCAAATGTCAATCATAATACAGGTTAGACAATAATACAGGGCTGAGATTATCATAAATAAACACAAGATTTTGACGCATATCCAAGTGTTTGTGCACAAAAAATAAATACCATTGACTTTTTGCCTTTAGCCTATTAAACATTTAAAATTTTCGCAAATTAATATGGAAAAAAAATAGATTTTACTTTCTAAAAACTATATTTTGCCCGCAGTGCTAAATGAGAAGAACATCTCTGGAACCATAAAGAGAGATGATTTATAGGTGATTTATAGGCTAATCATAATAAATGTTTCTGAAAAATAACGATGGATTTTTATTGTTTAAATGAACAGTTTTCTAGTGACGGGCTAAACATAGGCCTATCTCCATCTCCGCTGTAAAGGATGCACCTTTAGAGAAATGCAGCTTTCGGATTGTAGGCTATAATCAGACGGTATTTGCTTTCGATTCGAATTTGTTCGTTTAAAAGTGGACATTTCAAGCTTTATAGGCTTTTGTTTTAGTTCATATGAGACGCGCTCCGGAGATCATGAAAGCGCGCCTGATTGTTTTATTTTGTCATGTTATTGTGAGTTTACACAAATAAAACTAGTTGCAAATAATGTATTATGTATAATGTATTTTTTCTGTATGACCAGAAATGCTAGATTATTTTAAGTTGTTCCACTGTTGATAGGAACATGCAAGCGTTTGCGGCCGCGGCTCAGTGACATGCAGTGCGCGCTCCACACAAACACTTGGATATGCGTTAAAAACCTGTGTTTGTTTGTTATAATCTTAGCCCATTATTATTGTCTAAGACTGACATTTGACGAATTGCTTTGTTCTTTTTTTTTTTTTTTTTTTTTTTTTTGTGGATAAAAGCGTCTTCTAAATAGGCCTATGTAGCCTAAATGGATTTGATAGCTAATTATTATTTGCGTTTATTACTATGAATGAGTTCACCGAAGACAGTAATATGTTTAGCCTAACATAAAATAATTTATAACTTATAACCAAATCTTTTACAGTTTTTGAACAGTGTGTTATTATTATTTTATTTATTTTTTTCGCTTATTATACTGAGCTTTTTCCTCTAAAAAATGGACTTTAAAGATAAAAGTAGCCTATAGGCTAAACTCATTTATAAATGCAGTTTTCTTTAGAAAATGCAATAAATTATCCATTTAAAAAAAAGGGTTTTAAAAACAATACAATGCAATGCATCCCGCATCTAAACAGGAAGTATGGAATTATTTTTGTGCCGATAATAATGAACGTAACTTTTCAAGAAACTAATGAAAATATAAATTGAAACTGAATAAAATATCTTTGAAACTGAAAAAGAATGAATCGCAAGCAATTTTTTTACTTTGTTTTTAATACACTGCATGTTTTGCTAACTATTCCTCATATTTCTTTTACTGATCTAAACTTACAAATGCGCTTCCAGAGTTTTCATTTACGCTTCTGAAGTTTTCGTTTGCTTCTGAAGTTTTCATTTACGCTTCTGAAGTTTTCGTTTACGCTCCCTGAGTTTTCGTTCGCTGTTCTGACACAAATCTCTCGTGGGGGCGGGGCTAGTAGCAGTGTGTTCTCATTGGCTACTGAGTTTTTGATTGACAGCTTCTTGACCTGGAAGTGAAGACGTCAGTGTTGCGTTTACTTGTGTGGATGTGAGCGTCTGTAAGCGGAGCTTTCTATTTAATTTTAGTGATATTAAGTTATGTTTGTTTTTGAATTTTATCTGTATTTACCTGCTGCTGCTACTACTTTGTCAACAGAAACTTTTAGGAGCACAAGAGATCTCTTCAGTCTATTCAGGTGTAATTCTACATCAAAGTAGGCCTACTGTATATGCCTACTCAAAATATTGTGTCCAATGTTTTAGGAGAATATTTGTTTATTCCTGATGATTCTTTTGCATGTTAGGCTCTGATTAGGTTGTGCTATTACAATTTAAAGAGAATAGCCTACTAGTATACGTGTGTGATATATTCAGCCGTCAAGAAAGTTTCACTTCAACCAGGTAATCAAGGTTGGCAACCATGGCCATCAAATTTCTCATTGTTACCATATGCATTTACACCATCAAAATGTATGATCACTTAAATAAGAGGAATTTAAACTATGAAAATTACAATCGTGGCTTGCTGTCAGATGATACAGACCTCAAAGGACATTTCATTACATATTTCACACAAACAATATTTTGTTGCCATTTTTTTAATCATGCTGATAATTTTATTTATTTCAATTGGTTAATATTATCTTCTAACATTTAAAATTGTAAATATATTTGAACAATCATCAACAGGTTCAATTATGACTTATAAAATAAGTTAAATGAATTTAAATAATAAATCAAATAAATTTACATTCTTTATTGTCACTACAGCATATACACAAGTATCAAAGTGAAAGTCTTGGATGCGATTATGTTGTGACAGGAAAGACCAGAAGCCACAAAACATTAACTGCATACTATACATGTAATGCACAGTATTCTCATAATATACATACAAAATGCATAATTACAAAGATTTTTAAGGAAATAATCCATCTCTGTGAGTCCATATAAGACGAGTGGATTGTAACCCATGTATAACCCATGTATGACAATTGGTCGGAAGTGATTTTTAATAGTTAAAACAATTTACATTATTAGTATTTTTCTTATCCTATTGTTTCACTTCAGAAGGCATTGATTCATCCACTGAGGTCGCATGGACATCACGCTCACTGTGTGTGGTTTTTAAAGCATCTTTAGGACTCGCAGAGATGGATTACTTTCCTTAAAATCTTAAATTCTTAATTCGTATTTATCTGTAGAAAGAAAGTAAAATGCATCTGGGACAGCATGAGGGTGAGTAAAATAAGTGAGAATTTTATTTTTGGGTGAACTATCCCATTCATATGCTGTTGGTATGCTAATCCATGATCAGCATAGACTAATAAGAATAAACTGCAACCTCTTGTGTACTTGTAAACTGTGTTTGTTTTAATCTAGAGCTCCAAAGAAATTAAAATATTTGCTATTTTATAATATTAAAATAAAATACATCAGGTGTCTGAAGATCAGGATCCCAGTCATTCAAAGGTGATATGTCTGAACAAAGTAACATTATTGTCTGATGGAGACAGTTGATCTCTGGTATTATCACTCCATCCTCTGTGTCAGCATCAGAATTTTGTTTATGGAAAAGTTGCTCAACTCCCTGGAAAATGAGAAAGGAAATGTATTATAATCTAACAATACAAACTGCTTTGAACTCCCACATGCAGTAACAAGTTGCAGACTTAAAATAATTATTTCAAACAAACTATATAAATGTTCTAAGGGATTTTACAGAACTAAATATTTACCTCCGAGTCATGCACCATTTATCATCTGTAATACTGTTGTGTAACCAGTAGATGGCTGTATAGCCCTATAAACATTTATCCATGGCTGTGTATTCCCTAGTTGCTGGATGTTTTCAGTCATAATTACTTGCATGTATTAGGTTTTGCATTTGGACATATATTTATTATTAAAGACTATTAAAAAATTCAACATTTTTCTCCGAAATGTTTTTTTTTTTTGCATTATTATTGCTCAAATATGGACACAGAAAAAGCATTTTGTTGCATTTTGCAGAATAAATATTGCGCCCAGGGTGATACTTCAAAATAATTGAGTGTTTACATATTATGAATAGAGACATGGAATGTGGTCAAGTCCTGTCTCTCCTCTTTTAAAAACTCTGCATCGCAAATTAATCAGCAATTGGCTTTACATTGCCAAAGTTGAATCGGGCAGTGATTGACAGCGCTCTGGTCCAATGGCATCGGTCATTGTCTGATACAGTACTTTATGTACTGTAGGCTACAGTGCAGATACTGTACAGTACTCTAGCCCAATGTTGTTTGGGGTGGAAGGGGGGAAATATGATCTAATCGAAGACTGTAATGTAACCGTATGTAACGTTAGATAAACAAGTCATGTAATGATTGGGCTAACTACCAATTAAATCAAGACGACACTGCTGTATAATGTTATGGGCTCTCACTCAGCTCTAATATGCCTCTCCACCTGAAAAAGCAAGTACTGTATTATAAATAGTATTAGTTTAGTATTAATTAATAAAAAAAAAAAATAAAAAAAAATCTGACTTACCACGAGTAGGCTATCCAGTATTCTGATATCGACGATGACAAATTATATCATTTGTCTGTACTATTCCTTCTATAAGAAATCATCTCAACAATATAGTGTAGCAGTAAATAAATACAGATATAAACTTAATATCACCTAAATGAAATAGAAAGCTGCGCTTACAGACACTCACATCCACACATGTAAACGCAACACTGACGTCTTCACTTCCAGGTCAAGAAGCTGTCAATCAAAAACTCAGTAGCCAATGAGAACACACTGCTACTAGCCCCGCCCCCACGAGAGATTTGTGTCAGAACAGCGAACGAAAACTCAGGGAGCGTAAACGAAAACTTCAGAAGCGTAAATGAAAACTTCAGAAGCAAACGAAAACTTCCGAAGCGTAAATGAAAACTCTGGAAGCGCATTTGTAAGTTTAGATCAGTAAAAGAAATATGAGGAATAGTTAGCAAAACATGCAGTGTATTAAAAACAAAGTAAAAAAAAATTGCCTGCGATTAATTCTTTTTCAGTTTCAAAGATATTTTATTCAATTTCAATTTATATTTTCATTGATTTCTTGAAAAGTTACGTTCATTTTTACCGGCACAAAAATAATTCCATAGGCAATCGTGCTAATTTGAACCAGGTTCAAGTAGTCAAGATAATGTTAATCTTAAGCAGCCCTTTGGACCGAAAATGGTTAAAATTGATCCACCATGCCAAATGACAATGGTAAAGAGAGAGCTATAGGCTAATGTTCATAGCCACTGAGCAGCGATTACTATTAGAAACATATGAAGAATTTAAACATCTAATTACCAAAGAAGGTAATGCAGCTGCCACAACCAGAAAAAAAGGCTAGCAAGAAATTGCTGATTTACTGAAAGCGTAATAGCAGCTAAGTTAAAATGTATTGCTATATTTTGATTAGCAAATTAAATCACGGGCACAATAAAAAAATTGTTTCCATTACACGAGAGTAGATGTTAAAACTTCATGCTGATTTGTACTCGGCTTTCGCCAAGATAAGCAAAACTAAGACGTAGCTTTACAGTAAACTATGCTTCTCCATCCATTTACGCTTCTTTCCATATGGTGGTGTGACTCCCCTTCTGTCCGGCGTTAACGGCTGCAGTGTACTTGGCGCGTCAGCACACGCGACGGCTGCAACTACAGGACCAGCACGACAGCCGTCTGGATTGAGCCGAGTAGGGGACATCTCTAGGGTCTTCAAGTGGGCACCTTCCGTCCTCAGTGTTTCGTCGACTAGCCCACGACACCTCAAGAGGGCTCGACAGTGACTCTGGCGTCCCAGAGTCACCCCCCTCCGTCCCCCACTCAACTCAGCCCAGCTTACTGACCTCTCCATCCCTCCTGCTGCTGAGACCTAACCACAATCTCACAATCTCTCTGCAACCTGACCATATGCGCCAACCCATTTGACTAAGGCTGTCGAGCCCCACTGGTGCGTTAATATGCAGTTTCAGTGGACAACGGTTCCGTATGGCATACCACCTACCGCAAAACACAATATCTGTCCAACCACCCGTCATTCACGCAATATCCACAGGAACGTATACAAACAAACCAACAGACTCTTCAAGTTTTCAAGAATTCTACGAAACCGTAGCGTGGCGGCCTGTACACAGCCAGCTAGAATCTTTCCGTCTCAACCACAGCCAGTTGCTGCTCCTTTCTGCTGCTTCAGATAAGTTCTTTACTGTGCGACGCAACTCTTGGCCGCTAAATCCGATGTCTCTGAGGAACCGGGTTGGAGAGTGTGCCACAAAACCTCGGCAACCCAATTCCACTGGATAAACCTGTACTCTCCATCCTCGCTGTTCTGCTTCAGCGGCCAGATGAGCATACCGCAGTTTCTTCCTCTCATATTCTATATTCCATTGACCAAAGGTCTTGCCAGCCCATCTTGCGTTGTTCCACACTCTCCCATCTTATCCACTCTCCCTGCTTGGCCTGGGAAATGGCCTTTATACACCTCATCCTCTCCTCCTGCTTACGCACCTCGTTGACTACCAGCTTCCTCCTTTGAGCTGGGCCTGCCTTGTGCCATTTAGGAGGAGCTAAACTGAGCCCAAAACCCCCTCTTCCATGCTGTACCTGTCCCACGATATCCCCAATTTGAAGGGCAGCCTTTGCCTCTACTACAGATTTCTTTGCTGACCACTTTCTGCCAGTTTTTAACACAGGGGCTGCCTCCCTTACACATTTGTCGCGTGACTCTACTAAGGTCATTTCCAGTCTGACCTTGGCACACTTAAACTCCTCGGTTAAAGCAGAGACTGGCAGCTGCAATATTCCTTTACTATAAAGTCCCACTCTGCTGAGGCAGCGTGGAACTCCCAACCATTTCCTGATGTATGAACTTATCAACGCTTCCAGCTTATCCACTGTTGTCAAAGAAACCTCGTACACGGTCAGTGGCCACAGCAACCTCGGCAGTAGACCAAACTGAAAGCACCAGAGTTTTAATTTGCCAGGTAGAGCACAGCTGTTTATGCTCTTCAACCCTTCCACTGCTTGTCGTCTAACTTCTCCCACCCAAACTGTGTCCTTTAGATCCCCATCGTACCATCTCCCAAGACTCTTCACTGGCTTCTCAGAAACTGCTATATTTTGATTAGCAAATTAAATCATGGGCACAATACATTCAGTAAGAAAATAAATAACCTGTAAATTATATATATATACATATATATATATGAAAGCTGCACGATACTTGTTTAAAGATCGTGATCTTGATTCAAACACCCATGCAATCTTTTACCAAATGACAACAATTCGGCTGTCTATTAAATCTTTGACAAGTCCAATCAAAGAGCTCCCGCACAGATCCCACACACCTCTTCTCTTCGTCTTCTGGTTGCTGTTCTGTGTGGCCCCAGTGCCAGCCTCGACTACAGACAGAGACACGGGTTTGCGCAGAGATAACGGATAATCTTTTGCACCTTCGAACCTATTTCAGGGAGAGCGTTCTCGAGACACCAGGCACTGTTTTGTGTGGATGGGCGGCCGGAGCGCGTTAAGAGTTTTTCTGTTAGAACGGTCTCGTGTTAGCGGCCCCTGAGTTAATAACTAATGATCTTCGCAACGGAAGTGAATCAATCAAAACTATTAGCTGGACAATAACTTTATCCTAATGCTGTTGTAAAGTTTAAACAATCTGTTACGGTATTTTCTATTATAACTGTAAAGCTGCTTTGAAACAATCCGATAGTCAAGGTGACTTGACTTGATTTGACAGCTGTTTAAACAGAGTCAGACTAGCATCGCAAGTTCATCATAATTTCTTCATTTAACATGGAAGAAATTGATTGCAACTTCAATACCATTGATTTCAGAGCGGGGGCTTTTTCCGGTTCCATTTACTTTCACTTCCCAAACCTGTCGCCACACCAGGCGTGTAAAAGAGACAGGCGTCTATTTGGGACTTGGCTTTTTTGAAGTTTTACGGTACTCTCGCAGAGAGAGCAACCTCCAGCATAGAGTGCAGTTTAGCATCGGTTCAGTTTTTTGTTTAATCAGCCCTACTCATTTAACGAAATGTATATCAGTTCATGGTTTGTGTGTGTTTAAGAGAGAAAGAGAAAATGTCAGTATTTCATTGAGACTTGAGATTAAATAAACTGGTTAAGTATTGTAGATCTTGTAGTATTAATTTTCACTTGCAGTTACACATTGTCGGTTAAAAACAAGAAAGTGGCTGGTAAAAACATTGAGTGGCTGGTAGATTTTGAAATCCACCTGCCACAGTGGCCGGTGGACAAACAAGTTAATTTCCATCCCTGCCTTGCATGGCTGACACCGCCGTCGGTGTATTAATGAGTGAGTGAATGGGTGAATGTGAGGCAAAATGTAAAGCGCTTTCGTGGTCATTGGGTCTGTGAAAGCGCTATATAAATGCAGTCCATTTACCATTTACCATTCTAGACTGAGAAAAGGCAGAAAATATTTTTTTTACTCATGTGGCTGAAAGACAACAACTCCCAGAATGCACTTGCTTTGCTGCCCTTACAGGGCCACTCCCAAACCACGCCTACCGGTTACAGGCGGCACAATCCGAAAAATGGATACAACTAGGCTTGCTTTGATACATCGTAAGTTATTTGATAAATTTCCATCGAAATGGTGCTAAATTGCGTTGTACCGGGATGTACTAGCCTAATGTATATAACACAACTTAGACTTTCACATTAAAAATATGATGCAAGGCAGGACCATGTCAACAGAGCTTAGTAGTAGCTCTGCATATGAACTGTTTTCCTCCAATTGAAATCACTATTTCTCTAAGCTAATACATTATCTAGGCTAATCCAAACTCTAGTAACACTAAAGGTTTATAAAAAGAACCACAACCAATGTGAGTAATAACTTTTAATTAAAAAAATAATTAATATTAATACTTTTACACTCAACGCTCTGCGGATTCAGGGATCTCGTCCAGAAGAAAATGGCATCGCTGAGATTTGCGACAGCAATAGGACTCTATATCTGTTTCCATAGGCGCACAGCGAGAGCACTATTACTGGTTTTCTACTGATACAAAGCTTAATGCTAAATCCTGAAGTATCCCTTTAATAGAACCTAAACCCAGTCTATGACCACGGGGTAAAAATAATGATTGTAATTGGCGTATGGACAGAGGTTTCCGGCAGGGACAAAACATTTCTCACCTGATTTAAGATTTTGACAGAATTTTTCAACATAAGCCTGATCTGCTTTCTAATAAAAATAGGACTAATGATGACGAGAATATGACATATTGCTTTGTGTAGGGGTTAATTAACTCCAGAAGATGGCAGTAGTGCAACATCAAGGATGCGAGCTGCTGTTAAAATCCAACAAAGAAGAAGAAGCAGCTCTTCTTCAGTTCACTGCACTGTATTACATTTATACGTTTAGGTTGTTTGAATAATTCATGAAAACAGTTTTTTATGACAGCCACCATTTATGTTTATATTTAAAAAGTTTTCTTGTGTAGAAACATTAGTAGTTGTAGTCATTAAAAGGTTATCATTATAATTGTATTATTATAAAAAAAAAAAAACTGCATTATGTGCAATTTAAATGTTTGTATACAAATCAGTTGTTACTGACAGAGCTGAACCTGTAGGCTATATTTTACAGCATTACTGAGACAACAGCCCTAGAGTGACCCTATAGGGATTTTAGTTTAAATCACTATTCTGTGTAATTTTTCATTGACAATTATTGCGCTATATGTAAATGACATGTTTGCCACAATTCGTGATTTGCTGTGCATTCAAGTAGCGCTGTTAACACGTTGCTGTTTAAGATTTTTAAATGGTCTTTGATAACATTCTGGAAACGCCGAAGGGGGGCCAAGATGGCGGCTTGACTAGACGCACATGTTCTAGCGCTTAC